ACCCCCCCCCCCCCCCCCAAACCCACCCCACCCCCAGCTCTGCCACGTACAGCTGCAGGAAATTTGATCTGCAGACAGAGGTGTCCGTGCAGTGCGTGGGTACCCGCCTCCCCTCTCGCAGGCATGGCACGACGGTTTAAGTTGTGGCAATGCTGACAGAGCTGCGGCACTTTTTGCGAGCGTTTGGTCGGCTTTTTACGATGAAAAAGAGGAAGAGAAACTCTGACACTGACACAAAGCCATAAATGAGAGAGAAGAGGATATATAGATGAAAATAGAAGCAAATAAAAGCTCTGCACTCACATTTTCTTCACATTTACTGATGCAGTCCAAATCCCCTCCTTTGAGCTTGACCAATATTTTTTTTTGGAGCCGATATTGATTATGTCCCCTCCAACAATACTGTCATTGTTAAATCGGTGAGTATTCTTTATTTTTATTTATTTTTATTTTTTTTTCTATATATACACAAAAAATGAACAAACAGTGTATTGAAGTTGCATTAGAAAGGTGGAAATGATTGGGCTAGTGCTGGGGAAATATTGGCCTATTTGACAGATTTCAGCTTCAGGCCAAAACAAGATTAAATCTGGACAGCGTTGGAGAAATTTGGCCTTTCTCGCTCAGGATGGGCAATTCAAGAAACAGCACTGTTTGGCCAACAGTGCACAGTTGTAGCAGAGTTTGGGGTTTTTATGCTAGCGCTACCCAGCAGTAAGGTTTGTGCTAGATCGCCTATTTGTTATTATTAGTAGTTTTTTTTCTCAAAATTCCTTTGCTGTAATTGTGTTTGGCTTTGCCTGTTTTTCCTCTTTGTGTTTTCATCTTCTTCTTTTGGTTATGGCTCATCTGCCTCCATCTCACCCTGTCCTTAGCATCCTCTTCTGGCACACCAACCCTTTGCATGTCCTCCTGCATGGTTGTACTATTTGTATAGCAGCAACAAATCCACAGGCGGTATCAAAGACGTAGCCTTTTAGGTTTGTGAAATTCCATACTGACATTATTGTCCTAGGTTTTTTTTTTTCCATTTTTTTCCCTTAATTTCTTTATTCATTATTGCCATCTTCTGGCTGTATAGAAGTGTTATATCTTATCAGGCACAGGTAATGTGATGCAGTGAATTCAACTTTTTGTAGCATTTTTCTAATCACACTGACAGCTAAAAGCAGTAAAAGCACTACGAAAAGACCATGTGATGTGGTGACCTGTTGGGGGGGAAAGGGGTAGCAGCTTAAATTACCTTCTCCAAATAGTCAGGATGGTCTAGGAGAGGATACCACCTGGGGAGTACATGCAGGGGGGAGTACATGCAGGGGGGAGTACATGCAGGGGGGAGTACATGCAGGGGAGGAGTTATCTGGTGTTTTGTTTTTTGTTTTTTTCTTTCCTCCATATTTGTGTTATCAAATATAAAACCGACCTTGTAAGGAGCTGGCAAGATAAAGACTATTTTAGTGTTTAGTACCTGCTTAGTCAAGAGATGTAAACCTATGAAAATTGCAGAATGACACTACTTCTAAACTACCCAGAGTTAATCTTTCCTGGTTGAATGGGCTGATACTAACTGACTGATGTCTCAGGCAGCTAGTTTTGGCTACAGTACTAGATTACTATTACTGCTGCATGGCTATGTAAGCAGCATTTTCATGCTGTACCTGCTGATGATTATTCTACCAGCCTTGTAAACTTTTTGGTAATTTCTACTAATATATATGTGTATAAAATGATCACATACTACAATTACCTGTGTAAAGAGGCCATCCAGATAAACATCCAGCGAGTTATTTTTATTCTGAAGTACTGTCCTGCTAGCTTTTCAGAGTGCATTGGGATGAATGTGATTAGTCTCTTTGCCTCAGATTTTATTTATTCGCCAGAACTGCTGGCGTTTCATTGGCACCTAATTGTTTTAAAACACTTAAGCAGTGCTGGTTTAATTCAAACTTCTCGTCTCCACCTCATTGTCATGCATTAATTTGGCTTAAAAGGATTACTGCAGCATCCATCTTCTAATTACACACTTTTTAGTCTTCAGCTTGAAGATTAAATTGGGACAGAGAAGTCTCAGTGACATAACGAATACATCAGAGCACCGGAGGATGCTAAACGCATTGGGGGCTCAAAGAGGTCTGACTCAGATGGAAATGAATACATTTTAAATGGGAGGACTAAATAGAGAGATAGTTAGATAAGTAACGCTTTAAAATGTGCCTGCAATATATTTGTATTCTACAAATTTGGTTACACTTAGATAAAGAAGACACAGTAGAAAATCTTTTATTTGAACTTACACAAGGATTTTGCTTGCAGGCAAATAAAAGCGATGCTTTTTGATTGACTTTTGACACATTTATCTGATAAGTCTGATCACACTACAGCAAATTGAGCAACAGTGTGATAATAATATGCAAAACTCTTGCAAAGATAAGATTGATCCCATAAAAATAATCACTGTGCATGTGTTCATATATAACTAATGGCTGATAAATCCTCAAGGGCCAGCAGAGGTTAATGTGCGGCTTTCACGGGATGAAGAGGTGTGAGAAGACCTCTGAACATGTCGGAGGCTGATTTCACAGTCCTTTGCCAATTGCCCTCTCAGGGGGGCTTTTGTAGCTCGTGCTGCTGTTGGATAATTGCAGCAGTTAGAATGTGTCTGATCTGGAGGCGCTGCCTGCAGTGGTTTGCTGTTAGCTAAGATTTATTGGCAAGAAGCTGGGAAGCACACCTGGCGCAGAAAGTTCAGCACTAATGCAGAGGGAGCGAACAGTGGAGGAGGGGGAGAAGGGTTGATGAAAGTGGCTGGATAACACAGAAGTGACAAACTGCTGAAGAGCACTTGGTTTTACAGTTTTCCACATATAGGCTACGTCCACACTAGCCCGGATAGATTTGAAAATGACGTTTTCGTCTGAAAACGCTCCACATCCACACTAGCGTTTTCAGTCATTTTCACAGAGTTGTGCGTCCACATTGAAATAGCCAAAAACGCTTACTTTCCAGCATTGCGCATGCGTGAAACGCAAGAAGATTCGGCCTGCCTCATTTCTGTCTGCCGTTTATTTACTTTCTGGCTCGTTGAAACGTCGTGGCAAAAGTTTTTTTGGACTAACAATGAGGTGGAGTTGTTGCTGCGAGTAACACAAAAGTACAAAGTTGCAAAAGAGTGAGAATTAAATTATTTGAAGCATGTACAAACTGATATCAATCTTTAATAGGGCTGTCAAAATTGAGAGCAAACAAAACAACTGCTGTATAATGTTCTCCGCTATCTTTGTTGAATTGGTCACATGACTGCATCACATGACTAAAATTCATCATCGTTTTCGAAAGTCTCCATTTTCGCTGTCAACACTGCGACGCGAAGCACCGTCTTCAAGTGTATTCGTTTTCGAGAGCGTTTTCAAAACGCAGTCTCAGTGTGGACGGGAGGCCAAAACGGAGAGAAAACGATGAGAAAACGATTTTCAAACGAAAACACATTAGTGTGGACGTAGCCATAGTCTGCCTATAGCATTCCTCTCTGTAGTTCCAGGTTGGGCTGAAGTAAAAGTTCTGTGTCCGTGTGCCTACATAGAGCCTACATCTAGGGGTGTTCAATGTGCTCCTGTAAACTCATAAAAAAAACCTGTATAATTGAGCTTATTGGAAAAAAAACATTGAATATCAAAAATACAGTATGAAAAGTACAGACAGTGGCAGCAGTGCTTTCATTGCTTCTAACACTCACTTGAGGACTTTATGTGTTATAACCTCACTGTTTTCCACGCCTGGCTGGTGAACCAGCAACAGCACAAGCACGAGTAGCCCACAGACCGGTTGTACCACATACTTTGGTCACTGCCTCCATCTGACAACAGACCAAGGTCATTTTAGTTTACTAAAACTGGATGTGAAAAACATTTTAGGTAACTAAAATGAATATTAAAGGCCTTTTGAAAAAATTTTTTTAAATAAACTGAAAGGATTCTGTGAACTACAAAAATCTGGAAGAAATATCCTTAAATTTGGATGAACAAATTTGTGGCTACTTGCGTCTGCATGTTGAACTGTTGGGCAAAATACTGAACTCCCAAGTTGCTCCTGATGCATCTATGTGAGTGTGTGTGATTGGGTGAATGAGCCTTTTAGTTTAAAAAAAAAAAAAGTTGCATGTGAACTGTGCTGCTTGTAAAGAACTCAGCGTTCCAACGTGCCCCTTCATGTCTGGTCAAAACGTGCAGCTCGGGGGACGTGCACAGTCCGCACTTGGAACGCACAGTCACGGCTTTCTATCGCTTTTACAGATTAACCAATAGCAGTGTGTACAGGGGTCAAAACAGCCAAACACTGCACAGAGGTGAGCAGCTTTGGCTGAGCAGACTTTGAGCCTGTTGTAATCGGCACGCATATGTTAAACAGCAAGTAATGTGTAACTACGCTCCTCACGCTCATACATAATGTAAGGGAAATAAATTTTAACTCTTTCTAGGTGTTACTGAAAATGCATTTTGCATTTATTGGAAAGCCTTAAAATTAAATGCATTCATACTGAATTTTGTGCTCTTGGTAATGTCCAATAAAAAAGTGGAACTTCTAAGAGTTTTTTTTTTTTTTTAAATTTGTAACAACATGACAGTTATTCTAGTTTACTTATTTAAAAACAGGAGGGCAAGGGTGTCATTTTCTCATAGCTATACTGGTGCAAAGCTGCAGGTTTTATCTTTTAACACATACTCTTCTGTGTAACACATGCAACAACTTCACCATGACTTTTCACTTCTAACTATTACACAACTCTTAACCTCTGTCCATTTTCTGTTGTGTGTGTGTGTGTGTGTGTGTGTGTGTGTGTGTGTGTGTGTGTGTGTGTGTGTGAGTGAGTGAGACATGAGTGAGTGAGTGAGTGACTAGACACTGTTAAGCTCCCATTCATTCCGATACACACAGAGGGAGCACACAAGAGCTGAATATAGGTATGACTGGCTATTCTCTGGTTTGGTCTTGGTTCAGTTTTGCAGTATTTTTATTGGATGATTATATATTTATCCTGCAATTTATTCTCTTTTTAAAGCTTTCTAAAATTGTGGAGCAATTTTTAAATTTCAGTCATTTCATTTATAAAGTTTCTTTCCGTATTTGCTGTGCTTTACAGTGCAGTCACATAGAAATAGCATTTCAGAAGGAGAAATTGTTTCTGACTGTGTCTTCTTAATACACCGAGGCTCAGAGGATGTGGGCACATCTCTCTTATTTTTTTCTCTCCCTAATTTCAAAATGGATCAAAGATTTACGATACACTCAGTTTTATAACTATGCGTATGCATTCTAGTGAGTTGACTAAGAAAGTGCAAATGAACTCATTGATCAAAGAAATTAGGTCACACCCATTGGGAAGCCAAAAGAGAGAGGGAGAGAGACAGAGAAGGGAGAAATTGGGGCTACTCAAGTTGCACAAATAAAAGCGTGAAGTCTTTTTCTCAGAGCTATACAAAAGCCTTCACAGCTCCTCAAATTTCTAAAATCCAGGTACTCTGTTCGGTAGTTCATGCAAGGTTGGATTTGATGGTGAGTGAGAGGTGCAGTTTCTCCAGATGGCAACTGTGCCCAGGAACAGTTTTTAACCTGGCAGGCAGGAGTGTTGTTAAGAGGGCTGTTAATGTAAATAGTGAATTTGTTCTCTCTCCAGAGAATAATGGCTCTCTTGCTGTGGCTTGGTCTCTCGCTGCTGGCGGACGCCCAGTCCAGCGGCGTTAAGAACTGCCATCCTGGTTGCCATTGTGAAGTGGAAAGCTTTGGTCTCTTCGACAGCTTCAGCTTGACCAAAGTGGACTGCCGAGGGCTGGGACCCAGCGCCTCCATGCCCATACCAATCCCGCTGGACACTGCTCACTTGGACCTGTCCTCCAATGAAATGGGCCCACTCAGTGACACTATGTTGGCTGGTCCAGGCTACACCACCCTCATCAGTTTGGACCTCAGCAGCAACCACATTACAAAGGTAAGTAGTTTAAAGAACTCCTATATATGTCCTTGACCCACTAAAGACTAAACTTTTACTGGTAGTTTTTCAGGCATTTGGGTTCTTTTTACTGTTTTTTTTTTTTTTAATTGTTTTGTTTTTGTCATTTGCTGTGTTGCTTTCTGTGTTATTTGCCCAGATTTTGATGTGGCATCTTGCCTGGGATTACCGTAATGACCCTTATATCACTGAAAAGCACAGAGTTGCTGCTTTCCGTAGCCATTGGAAGTTTTGTTATTGCGCCAGTAGTTCAAGAGTTACAATAGTTTGACCTAAAAGTTTAACCTAAACCCATCGAGCACGCCAACGCTCCAATTGGGAGGATTATAGTACTAGTGTAATAATCTTCTGGTACAGTGCTGTAAAAAAAGTATTTTCCTCATTTCTGATTTCTTATTTTTTCTTTCAGATCATCAAACAAATTTTTAATATTAGTAAAATATAACCAGGGTAAATACAAAATGAAGTTTTTAAATGAATGTTTCTTATGGGAAAAAAAGCTGTCCAAACCTACCTGGCTTTGTGTAACAAGGGATTTGTCCCCTGTTAAATCATGATTTGCCAAAGATTCCAAAGAAGGAGAATGTCCGGCTATCAGTTCAAGCGTTGAAGTTCAAACACACTTGTGTTTTGCAGCAGGGCAATAATCTGAAACACACCAGCAAGTCAGCCTCTAAATGGCTAAAAAACAAAACAAAATGAAGGTTTTTGGCCTAGTCAAAGTCAAATTTTTTATGCCTGTTTTTTAAACAAAGATTTATAACTTGGGCTGAATCTGCAGTGTTTTGTAAATTCTACCAGCTTATTCTCACTTAGATTCAGACATACGCAGCTCAGACCTGCTCCCTACTGCCAGCTAGTTTGGAGTGTTATCTCAAGTTTTTAAGGACACAAAATTGATGGAGCCTGATACACAGAGCGGAGTGTTGAGAGAGATAGACGAAGCCAGTTAAAACCTTTTTCACAGTTCACTGGACCACTAATGGAGCACAATGGACATGCAGCTCTGTAGCTAACACCTCTTCTAGCGTCAGAGATAACAGCTCAAGTATTTGCCCTTTCTGGTCCCATTATGGTGCAGGCTCCACCAGTCTCACAAAATAAATGAAAATATTTACTTGCAGCTTACTGCTCAGTGTTTATTCCTTCTTTTTATCTTTGTTAACTTGTTTCCTTCCTTCATACTTCCAGATAAGCCCCAGCGCACTGTCCAAGCTGCGTTATCTGGAGTCTTTGGATCTGAGCCACAACAGCTTGGAGAGCCTCTCGCCGAGCTGTTTCTCTGGGCTCCCCCTGGTTGAAGTTGACCTCAGCCACAACAGCTTCCGGGAGTTTGACTTGGAGGTGTTTGCTTCCAAGGTTCACGGTGAACCTGTTAGTGTGGATCTGTCTCAAAACAAGCTTGTTTCAGTCTCTGCTGCTTTGTACGGCCGAGTTTTACACATCCAGAGCTTAACTCTGTCGTCAAACCAGCTGTCGAGCGTGCCGAGCCTGGCGGGACTTCTTCTGAGGTATCTCAATCTGGATGGAAACCCCATCAGACAAATCACAGAGGGAGCCTTTGCTCAGCTGAAAGATCTGGTTTATTTATCTCTGAGTGGCCTCCCCGAACTCGAACACATCAGGCCAATGGGCTTCAAAGGTCTCCAGAGCCTGCAAGTTCTGGATCTCTCAAACAACCCGAAGCTCAAGAGCCTGAGCCCCACAGTGTTTAGTGGGCTAGACTCTCTGCAGGAGCTGAATTTGACCGGTTCTGGCGTAGCATCCTTGCCAGCTAACATGCTGACCCATCTGCCCAGCATTAAGAGTATCACACTGGGACGAAACAACCATTGCTGGAGGACCCAGAAACAGGGACTGTTCCACCGGCAGATGGGCCAGGTCCAGCATAACGAGGTGCTGACCTGTAACACAGACGGCATTGTGCTGTGAGGGAATGGACTGCTTCTTGGAGCCTTGATACCAGAGCTGTGCCTTTATTTGCTTAGAGATGAAAACACTTTTATTTGTGTGTGTGTGTGTGTGTTGCTCTTATTAAGTCACAGGGATATTTTGGAGTGTCTTTTAAAGATCTGAGGTAGCCTTCATGAAGTATCATACATGCTGTATCTTTTTAAAACGCAGTCTCTTTTTATGTAGCACATTTTCTTTAAAATGCAGTGTTGTCTAAACTGGTAGAGAACCTGTCATGAAGTCACAACTTAAGCAATGTTTATACATTACTTAAAGTACTGGAGTGTACTTCATGTACACTCAAGGGATTTTACACCACACCACTGCATTTCTTTGTAAATTTGCTGGTGTAGTTTGAGTGGTATGCAAATGTCCACTCATATATTGCTTCCCATTAGCTTTTAATGGATATCCTAACTTAATAATGACCAAATGAACAAAAAAAAGCCAAAAAATATAAGCACCATACTTTGCTGAAGTGACATAACTGCAGGTATGAAAAAAGACAGTCCATAATGAATGTGCCATCTACATTGATTGTGGCACTAGTACACCTCTTCATGGACAGGAACACTGTGGGAAGGCAGCCCCACTCTTCAGTCAGTGCAGCCCAGAGTTGCTGCTGAATCTGTGGAGAGGAACTCCACAGGTTTCATGTGGTTGAGATCAGGGCTCATTGCTCATTGGCATCTTGTCTGGCGGTCCGCCCTGCCTCTGTCATTCTAATGGGACGATCAAGGTCAGGTTGCCCCAGATGGGATTTTTTCCAAACCTATGATGGCTTTTTCATAGGGTTGGGTGTGTTTGATAGAGGAGTGGCCATCTGGGGTACTTTGGGTAAAGGCATTGTGACACTCTTTGCTAAAATAAAACGTTGGGAATTATCAAAAAAGCAACCCCACAATAGAGAAAAACTCTTCCCAAATTGGGCCAAAAGTAGAGTGGTGTGTTATTAAATCCCTTGAGTGTACTTCAAAGCGGACCACATTACGATTTAATTGCACTTATTAGATTTGCGGTATTGTTTTATAATAATGCACTTAAACCTTTGGAAAATATCATTCCTTCAAAGTGTTGCTGAGAACGACAGCACTGAGGGACTTTTGTTGACCGGTGACCACTAAGATTTTTCATGTGATATTGAATGTGACGCTTGACAGAAAAGGTTAGGGGAGGGTTTTCTTTAGAAGACTGATACCACTCTTATGTTTTTAGAATGAAGTTTATCTTTGCTCAAAGACTGGACGCAGAGAAAGCAGACTAGCTCTGTTGGAAGAACCAGCTTTCCACCGACAAGCCACCGGTGCCTGATCCGAAAACTGGTTCCACGCACTCCCACCGAAATGAGACTGATACCAAGAAAAACTGCTTTTCTTACCGCTGTTGATGACATCAGATGCTACAAATTCTTAGATGATTCACAGATTCTGTCAGTATCCCACGGATTATTGCTCAACTTTTCCTGCGTAGCACTAACAATCTCCAGCGCTCAAACCTATTTAATCATCAGCCGGTGATTAAGAATCACAAGCACCATCATTGCAGCACTTGAAGTAAGGTTTATTTAACATGTCCTTGCCTGCTTTGCTTATTCCATGGAAACACAGTCCACCTACAAGAGATACAACCCGTTCATTTGCTGGATTTTCTCACTTTTTTGTACAGAACCAGGCTGTCTTCGTATAACCCTGTATTCAGTGTTAATGTTAAGCTACGCCAACAGTGGCTGCTGGTTAACGCAAGTATTTCACACAAAAACAACTCCCCCAAAAAACATTGAACTCTAGAATCCAGGGAGCAGATTCCTTTAAGTGCGTGGGAAACAAAGTCAAGTCTTGCTACACATGCTGAGGATAAAATTCTTTTCCTTGTTACACCCACAAAATGACCATTTCATTACTTGATTTTTTTGTTTGCTTGTTTGTTTGCTTGTTTTTTGTGCCCATTGAGCCCGAGCTGAACTGTTCCTCTCCACAGCTACACTACAAAACAGGACGTAAGCGTCCTCGACCGTGCAGACCTGGAGTCGCTGTTACTCCCACTCACATTGTCCTCCATCTGAGCAGGATGGTTTTCATAGCAGATTGGCTCATATCCAGTATTATTATCACTTGTTATCACATACTTGGTGATGAAACGATGCCAGTATGTGTTAATGTTTAAACATCGAGCAGCGCTGTGCTTACCTTGGCATTCCTGTGGCATTCAGTGCAGCCTCAAGACTGCACATTAGGGTTTTATTGATGTCTGCAATCTGTAAAGGCGCGATATTTGAAAGCATATCCAATCTTTTCAGTTTAAGTGGAGGAGACTTTATATTTGTATGTATGTAACTATGCTGTATATAACTTTATATAAAATGTGACTATTCTTACATCCTTTGACTGCTTTAATTCTTTGTGACGTAAGAATGGGAACAATTATTCTGTGTACCGGCCGAGGAAATGAAACACATTCAAAACATGTGATTCAAAAGAATCACATGCGAGGAAATATTGTGTCAGTGTCTGCTCCAGTTTTTCATAGAAAGTGTGTGCAATATGTGCCTGACTCACAGCAAAGGGTGTGTCTCTGCAGGACACGAGGAAAAGCTTAGATCTCTGCGGTTTGTGTCGCTTTCACAACTCAGAAACTTTATTTACACGCATGCACAGACCCATACGGGCACGCTTGTGCTCCTGAATAGCTTTTAAAAAAAAAAAAAAAAAAAAAAAATTGGGACACGCACAAAGGTTTGTCAGGCTTATATGCCACAGTGCGCTGGTAACCTGCCAAGGAGGTGACAGCGAAGGAGCCGAGCTGAGAAAGGAGAAAAGGGGGAAAGAGAAGTGGGTGTCCGACACGGCAGCTTGCAGATTTTCTGTGTGTCTGTGTGTGTGTGTTTGGCAACAAGTGGTATCCAAGATGGAAAAACGTCACACTGTGCCCTGTGTTCTGTGACACTTTGTTCAAACTACAAGAAAAAAACAAAAACAAAGGGGGAAGAAAAGTGACTAATTAACGGATTTTCAGAGATTGCATCAGAGGCCGACCACATGTGTTACATCTTGAAAAATGAGCTGGAGAATACAGAGGGTTTATGGGTAAGTTTGCTTATGTCATGCAGTTCTAACTTGTGAGTGGGACCCTCAGTGGATTGATCCCACAGCACAAAACTTTTCCAGATGTTTTTTTTCTTCTTTTCCCCCCCTGTCTTGTGTGATGCAGTGTTGTGTTTATACCTAAGGAAGCAATTCAAAAAAAAGAAAAAGAAAGCAATCCCAGCTGTATTCAGTAGTGGCACAATAGCTTAAACACTTTCAAAAAATCCCTCTGGTTCTATAATCATAACACTTATTTTAAGCATATAATCCAGTGTCCAGAAATGTTTGTGTGAAGTGTAATAACATGTTTAAGAGTGAAAATATGAATAAGACCTTGAGCAGAAAGCTATCCAGGATGGAGACCATGTGTCCGTTTACACATTCCACCGTCGCCTAACAATGTTCCTCTGTGTCTTCAGGGGCATGCACAGATGTGTTGAAAAGGAGCAGAAATGAGCTGTCATGACATCTGTAAGATGCATCACAGTCTAGTACATCCTTGTCTCAGAAGGAAATGCACAGTGGAACATATGCTGCTTATTAATGCAAATAATCAGACATGACAGAAACTCGGCGCATGAAGTTCACGAAGTTTACACGGTGTTATCAAAACTGGACAGTAAAGGAATAGAAAAATGTTGCCCAGCCTGATGAGTCTGCAATTTCTGCTGCGACGTTCAAACAGCATGAAAGCCTGGATCCATCCTGCCTTGTATCAGCAGTTCAGACTGCTAGTGGTGGTTTTTGGACCCTTTGGTACCAACTGGGCAATGTGTAAAAGTCACAGCCAGACAGTATTGATGTTGACCATGTCCATCCCTTTATGACCACAGTGTACTCATTGTCTGATGGCTGCTTCCAACAGGGAAACACGCCATGTCACAAAGCTCACATCATATCAAACATGACAGTGACGTCACTAGTGAAATGTCCTCCACAGTCACCAGATCTCAGTCCAATAGAGCTCCTTTAGGATGTGGCATAGGGTAAATTCACATCGTGGATATGCAGCTCAGAAATCTGCAGCAACTGTGTGACGCTGTGTCAGTATGGACCAAAATGCAGGAATGTTTCCAGCACCATGTTGAATCTATGCTACAAAGAAATCAAGACGGCTCTCAACGCAAAAGATTCTCACAGATCGAAAAGCAACCAAGATCTTTCAGTTTGACGTTAAAAAAAATAAACTGGAGGTCGGTGACATTTATGGGTACAAAGAAAGTTAAGTTCCCATGAAGGTAAAAAACAAACAAAAGGAAACAAAAAACCCCACAGACCTATCTAAACATGTTTTATCTCATCTAATCTGTAGTCTGAAGTCACGTCATCAAGAAAAACAACCCTCCCCTCAGCTGATTTATCTCACGTTCTGCCTCTCAGATTCGACACAGCCACTTCTACCACTTTTCATTCTCTTTGTTCCTCATTGTAAAGCTCATAAGTTGTAAAGCAATGCCTTTAAGCAGGATAATTAATATTTATTTGACTTTAGGCACAGTGGCGCAGTACACGTGAGTGAAGAATTCAAAAGGAAGTGACTTGTTTCTCTGCAGTGGTCTGGCTGTGAGATGTAATTACTTCAAAGCAGAGGGAAGCTTTGAACTGTGAATAATTAATTCAGGCAAGCAGAACCAGGGTGTTTTTATTAAGTACTCTGTTCTTGCTTGAACAACTATCACACAAATGTAATTTGACCTTCCCGGAGAAATCCTCCAGAGAATCAAGCCATCCAAGCAACTAATCCACTTTTGCTTCATCAATGAGCCCATATTGCTCTGAACGCTGCGAGGTTTTAACTCTTTATTCTCTCTTTTTTCAGTTTTCAAGTTTTCATGTCAGAGCAGTGACATTTGGATGCTTTGAAATGCCCTCAGGCTTGTTGTGCTGCTGTAACAATAGGCACCAAGGTACTGTGTCAGCGAACTGCAGAGGTTTTGTTTTCCAGACAAACAAAAGATCCGCTCAACTTGTCACAGGCCACAAAGAGCTGCTTGTTTTTTGTTCTGAGAGCCACTAAAGCTGCTGAAGTCTGTACTGCTCCATGGCATTATTGTGCACAAATGACACAACAAAAATCACGTTTAAACTTGGATTGCCATGTAAAAAGGGGCGATGCTTCAAACAGCGGTCTGCAGCCTACATGTTGATTGGAAGCCTTTTACGCATGAGGTAAAGCTTCCTCTAAATCACTCCTCCGTGAAGCAACAAGGTAGCTGTGATTTGCTGCTTCAGATCTTCAGATGCTCTTGTGTATTTTTGCTTGTGCTGAACAGATGCCCTGAGTGCCGCTCAGACTGTTAAAAATACTTTCTTTATTTTCACACTCATCAGACACAGTGGGACTCGTCCACATGTCAGCAGTGCATGGAACAGGTCTGATTTTCAAGTTTCAAGGTTACCAGTCCAGGCCTCAGCCTCCAAACACTCACTGCACCACCTATTCTCTTTCATCTAGCATTCAAACTCACATGTCGATGGATGGCTTGGGGTTCAGCCTCTTGCCTGAGAATGCTTTGAAACACAGTCAGGGATTGAAGCGTCAACCTTCCTACCGAGCCCCACTCTACGTCCAGAGCCACAGCTGCACTTTTTCTTTCACTTTCAGTGTACAAATAATTAAAAGCCGTGATTGAAACATTTTAGATTATTCCTGTCTGAAATAAAAGTAGTTTAAAAAAACATGATTATACTTAACTGGTAAATGGCTACATATATAGATTACAAGTACTGGTCTACGGCTTTCTACTCAATTTGAGCACTCAAAAGGCTTTCTACTACAATCACCCAGTCACACACACATATTTCTACAGCACTCTTATCTATGACTAAGCGCTTTTATCTGGCATTCACATGCACTTACTCCAGTGGAAGCATTGGGGGCAATTCAGGGTTTAGTATCTGACCCAAAGATACTTCAACACAGCAGTCGGAGATTGATCGTCCAACCATAACTACTATATTTACTCATTCATTGCAGTAGCTAAAGTATTTATCTTGTCTTATAAATGACCCCAATAGATTGGTCTCGGTTTCAGTTGTGAATGAAGGTTGGCCTTTATTTTGTAAAGAGTTTCGGGTTGTGTTTCGTCCACAGCGTAGGAGCGTTTATGAGAGACGATGGTGATTCTCCACGTTAAGGAAGAAATCCTGGATTGTATTACTCTCTCTGACAACTGAGTGCAGTGATTACAAAGAGGCCCACATGCCAAATGAGAGCTGGAAACAAAAACAGCCTGCAAACTATGAATAATGATTCTTTGTAAATGCAACGTTTTCACTTGTGGATTTGACTTTTAAACTCTTTGCTTTTACAGTGAATTTTATTTTGGATTCATTTATTATTGATAATTTGGCTTGGTATCCTGATGGGAGGACAGTGCAGTGTTTCCCACAGTTCCTACATTAAAAGTTGTACACTTTTTAATTGCACAGCTGCTTGCACATTTGCAGAAAACAAATATTTGAAGTAGCCTTTTAACATAATGTAATCTCAGAAGGCTGCTGCCAGCTATATCGCCACACCAGAGAGTTCAGTTTACTGAATTTACGACACTGCTTCAGCTCACATCCGGTCTGACTTATCACTTCTCGATGGTCAGCGTGGAGCAGAGTTGGATTTTCTCCACATTCCAGCATCCAGAGGGTGGAAACTTGCAGACAGTGTGTTTTCAGCACCGCTGAGCTTTGCAAACATCACGACTTCAGATTGTTTCTTTTCTATTTGTGGAAAAAGGAAGAAAAAGAACAACAAGAAAATGACAAGGTGGCCAGCAGCACACAGAAGGCTGCAGAAAATAAACACTGTGATACTGAACCAGCCAGTTCAGATGGAAATAAGCTGAACACACACACACACACACACACACACACACACACACACACACACACACACACACAGAAGGGTTATATTTGCCATCAGCTAAAAGGGCCACATTTATCAGCTTGATTATATCAGGCTTAACACAAACTGCTGTGTCACTTGAAAGTTGCCTCTATATCTGACATAAGATGAAGACGACACATCTTTTTTGAGAAAATGAACATTTTCGTCAGCCTCATGGAGCGAATGTGCACAAGTTTTTTTTTTTTTTTTTTAAACAAATCAGTCCATTGTAGAGGCAGCAGGACTCTTGCATCACCTCTCTCATTATGGTGGTCTGGACGGAGTTTCCCACAGGAAAACGGATACATCCTGAGACGGCTGCCCTACTTCTCTCTCTCTCCTCCATCTGGTTTCCATCAGAAGCTGCTGGGGCTGCGAAGGTTTCCCCCAGAGGACACCACCTCTGAT